ATCAGCAGAGAATTGCAGTTCGGGCTCTGCAAGCTTGGCAGGCCACATTCAAGTCCCCCCCGCACGGCAAGGGAAGAAGGCTTTTATGGGGAGGGGAAGGAAGGCAGGAGGCTGCAGGAAACAGAACCCACTGCTTTCCATCCCCCGAGTCCTCGTCAGGGACGGTAGGCCTTTGGCTCCATTTCTTGCCGGGCTCTGCTGTGGTCCCAGGATGCGAGAGCGCCCTATTCTGGTCTCCGGACTCCGTTCTGTTGAGGTTTCTGTTTATTAGCTTTTTGGAATAGACATAGAGGGTTATAGTGATAAAAGGAAAGGTGTTTGAAAAGTTAGAACCAAGGAATCACTTCAAGCTCAGAGGTGGCACCAGTTAGGGCCACGTTTTACCTTTTTCCACCCTGCTGGTGGCTCAGTGCTAAGAATCCTCCTGCCAAAGCAGGAGATGCAGGTTAGACCCCTGGATTGGGAATAGCCCCTGGAGAAGGAAATGGAAACCCACTCTAGTATGCTTGCCTGGGAAGTCCCATGCACAAAGGTGCGTGGTGGGCTGCAATCCATGGGGTTGCAAAAGAACTGGACACGACGTAACAACTAAACACCACCAACAACAACCGTGCAATTGGCCCCTGGGCTATGAGCAAATCCCCCTGTCTGTCAGTGCTGGCCACACTGGGGCTGGTAGGCACCAGGTCTGGGGGCACTCCAAGGGTTGTGTTTTGAACAGGTTGAGATGTCCTTGTGACAACTACGTGGAGACAGAAAGTGAAAGTGAAAGTCACTCAGTCGTGTCCAACTCTTTGTAACCCCATGGACTATACAGTCCATGGAATTCTCTGGAGTGGGTAGCCTTTCCCTTCTCTAGGGGATCTTCCCAACCCAGGGATCAAACCCAGGTCTCCCCCAGTACAGGTGGATTCTCTACCAATTGAACTAAAGGGGAGACATCAAACAGGCAATTGGATGAGAGCATTCAAACCTTGATCTCAAATGAAAATATAAATTTGAGAAATCATAAATGTAAAAAAATAGAATTTTTATAGCCTTTGGAATCAGAGTAATAGAAAAGTTAACCACATTACAGCAAGTCTAGAATTCTACAATTTAAATTTCCTTTCCTATATTGAACCTACAGTTTACTTAATTTTTGGTAATAAAATTTCCTCTGGAATACAACTTTTGCATTATTCATGAATGGACTGACTATGCTCTTTCCAGCAATTTATGGCAGTTCTTATTTCTTTACATCACTGACAACACTGTGTATTATTTAAAAAATATTTACCAATATTATATGCAAAGAATCAGAGAACATTGTTAAAGCTATACTTCTTTGATTATTAAGATTGAGCACTTTTTCATATATTTGTCAGTCATTTGTCTTTCTTCTTTACAGAGTTGCCTGTTTATATAGTCTTGCTATTTTCTCTTGAGAATTCAATTTTTATATCAGCAAAAAATGAAACCTTTTTCTACAGCAAAGACCTTGTTCCTGTGACTGGCATTTCTGTTGAAAACTTTCCTCCAGTTACCACTTTCCTTTTCATTAAAAATTTTTTTTGTTATTGTTGCTTGACCTACATATTTGGGTTTGTGCCTTTGGTATTTGAGAAAAAGTTCTTTTCCTATCATATATTTAAATATTTGCTTATTTTTATAGCATATTATTTCATTGAAACATCTAATCCAGCTCAGATTTATTATGGTGTAGGAGTGAGATGCACCAAAGTAACTAATTTTCTAACTAATTTTTTCTGAGTAAGTAAACATTATTCCTGCATGGTAGGCTTGTTTGTTTTTGCTGGCAACTTAGGTGATTTGATAACATGATGGAAAATAACACATACAAATAGCTTGGCATGTATCTGCTTCTAAAAGGGTATTCGAATATTTGCTGATGGTTTGGGGAAGTTATATTCTCTAGTCTTTGAGGGGAAAAAATAAGGCCACTTAAACGCTATTCCTCTCTGACATAATTGCTATTTCTACCTTCTCATAGTAAGGGGATTAGCCCAGATGCCTTTCCGAGAAAGCTCTAGCGAGTGCACTTGGCTCTGAACATTCTAATGCTTGCAAACCTTACCCTTTGTCCATCGGTTTACTTTTAAGATAAAGGTTCTAAAGATGCTTGTAAAGATACAAGATGAGGGTATGCACATATATTTAAGACTCTAGTTACTCCTGAGTTACTTCTCTATTAAAAGTGGTATTTGTAAGCAGAAATATGTGAGGCCGTTTCTCCTAACTTCTTTCAAGTATGTTACATTTCTATTAAGATCTTTTTTATTTTATACATTTTCCCCTTAGCTTTATAAATGTGTCCATATAGGCCTAGGAACATAAAATCCCCTATTTTCTTGCAGTAGGTTAAATATCCACATCCATGTTTCCTTTATGTCAAATGGAGCGGTCCTGGAATAAATGAAGTTTTTCATTTTTATCTATGCCTGTCTTTCTCCTTGTCTACCTTGTGAGATTTAAAATAGCCAAATCTAGTAAGAGTAATAAGGGAATCCTAGTACAATGTCTCATAGAGAACAGGTGGTAAATAAGTATTTGGTATTTATAGATAATCATGAAGATAGTGTTCAGAATATAAATAATTCCTTATGCTTTCATGGTCTTAGATACAAAGTGTTGATGACTTTCAGAGTGATTTGAACCCATTATTATCTGATGATATCTTCCTCAAAAGATTTTTTTTCTTCTAAGCCTTTTTACTCTCATTGTAATTCTTGGTTAGTCTGCCTACGAATAAATGAACAAATTCACGGAGGTTTGGATTATCTTTCTTTTTTTATTTTCATCTCTTTTACAATGGGACCCCATACCAGCCCAAAACAATATTTGGAAAATAGAAAAACAGCAAAGGGATAATTCATGAGCTATACTGGGAATACACTGTTATTCTATCTCTAAGGACCTGCTATAAAAAATGAGGCACAAAAACAAAAATAAATGCTAAGAAGCGAGATGAAGAGAGACCAGGAGTCCATTGTAGCTCTTTTTTTTTTTTTTTTTTAATTGTTTAGAGTCAGGATCTCATCCTGGGGTCCAGGATTGACTTTGTTATGAGGAACCAAAGAAGGGAATGAGTCCCTAAATACTCTAAAAATCGATGTCAAATTTCAGATATATATAATCCTTTTCATTTTGTGGGGAGGTAGGGAAAAGTTTCATAGCTTTACTCACATGTTTATAGGAATCCATGATCACAAAAGGGTGAAGAACCACTAATATAGAACAACCAGAATTACAGTAAATGAAAATTTTCTCTTTTGAGTTCTGTCAGGAAATTAAATCTTTCAGCATTTCTCCCCTTCCTTTCTTTACCCTAATTCTCTTTGATAAATTTAATGCTTTCAGAGCTATTTTGCTGAAGCTTATAGAAATGAATAATTTAGAAAACAGCTGGAGCTACCTGGACTCACAGATTAATTAAAGGGTTTCATTAAAGCTCAGCATGTTATTTATGAAGAGGGTGGTCCTGAGACAAAAGACACCAGGGGGTAGAAGCGCCTTTCTACTCTTGAACCTATTGCTGAGCCCATCAGCTGGCATGGTTATTCTGGACGGTTAGAAGCCCAGCAGATTTGGCATAAAGTCAGTGGCCAAACATTGTGGAAGAGACAGAGAATCCTTGCAGGACATTCAAATCCTCCACCCAAGTTGGCAACAAAGGAAGAGGGCACAAAACAGGAACGTGAGTCAAAGAAACATTCGAGCTGCCTGCTTAGGTGATCCGATGTCTTCTCCACATGTCTCCTCTCAGCAGCTGCTTTTATCGGCTACTTCAGAGAAACGTGGACAGCTCCCATAATGCACCTGTGGGCTCTGCCAAATATGTGAAATCCTGGCAGAAGCAAGTAGCCGGGATCCACGCTTTCCACCTGGCATTTAGCTAAGGGATATAACGATGTCTCCTAGGATCTTTATTGCCCTCAGAGCAATAAAGAATCTGGTTTGTCTGTCTTTTTAACCATGATTACAGTTGTGAGAAGTTTTGACTGATTCTGTGACATTAGACAAGACTAGAACATGGGAATGGATGTGGGTTTTGATCACCATTACGATTTCTCAGAGAAGAGAAAGTAAGTAAATCACAAAACTAAACACTGGACACAAGATTTGTAGAATTCTGAGTGTAGATATGGCTTCAGAAAGAACTGACTTCAGGTTAAGTGCACACCAGACTAAATGACTATGTGATGTTTCTATATGATTCTAAGTCAAGTGATTCTGTCATTATTTTTATAAATAATTCACAGGTGACTTTTCTTCCAAATTTGATGTACAGATTCTTCCTGTAAGCTAACTAGTTATAATAATGGGACAGCCCCCTTGGCCTTGTTAACGGGTGGAGGAATAATCAGAAGTGTCAGTTCTTATATGAGATGTATCATTTTTATAATAGAGCACACAAATGGCAGCAAGGTTGGGCCATTTATTTTGTAATGATAGAAAACCCAGCTGTCATCTTAGCTGCATATTGGTCTTCAAGAGTAAGCAAATGAATTCCTAACATTTCATCTCAAGCTGCTCTTAGATCATCACATTTGAGTAACAGACTTGATATTGCATCAAAATAATGTTGCAAATGAAAGCATTTAAGATTCTTGAATGTAAATGGGGTAGAAACCTAATACCTTCTAGAAGTATAGTACATAATAGACAAGAAGAAAGGGATAAAATGATTTTTGGTTCAATTAAACTGAATAAAATGCAAAGGGATAAAAGTCATTAAGAAATGAAGTATGCCTTGATTGCAATGATAAAGAAGTCAATGCTCTAGATTTGAATTTAAGCACAAGTTTAGTGAACTTACAGATTACTATTTGAGATCAACATTAAGAACAAAAAATAATTTTGCGTTCTGCAGAGTAAATTCGCAAGCAGGCTGTCTTACTAATATTGAAAGAAACGTGTTTCTTAAAGCTTGTTTTGTTGGATTATGTCAGAAGCAGAGCTGTGCTTCCGGAGGGAAGATGAGCTTCTTCTTGGGCCCGTCAGCATGAAGCTCTCACTGTTCTGCCCTTCAGAGGCTGGGGCGGCCGGTTGTTGCACTTGATGGGGACTTCTCGATCACCTTCCGCACTTGCTAGCAGACTGCGGAACTGCGCCAGCTTGGGGGAAGGATAACATGTTTAGAGAAGCAAAAGCTATTGATGTCACACAGAACACTTTTTTTTCCTAATATGATTGATGCCCTGATATTTAGAAAATCGGGTTGAAGACTGCAGTGGCTTCACAGATGGAAAGGGAGGAAGCCAACGGTTCCTCCACATGTCTTTGCACCAAGCACTTGGCTTCAATTGTCCATGACTGACTGGATTAGAATCCCAGCTTTCTCACGCTTGGGAAAGAGACTGCCCTGCTTGGCGCCTCCATTTCCATATGGTGCTATTTCATTGTGTGTTGGTGAAGGCTAAATGGGCTGACACACATCAGGTTCTTAGAATGGCGCTTGGCATTGCTAAAGGAGTGTTAGCTCTTACACCGACAGGTCACACTGCCTGTCCTACAGGCTCGCTGTGAGACTTGACTGACGAAGCGTCTGGAAGGCACCTGATAAAAAGCGTTACTCAATCAATGGCGGCTGCTGCTGCTGCTGAGTCGCTTCAGTCGTGTCCGACTCTGTGCGACCCCACAGACGGCAGCCCACCAGGCTCCCCCGTCCCTGGGATTCTCCAGGCAAGAACACGGGAGTGGGTGCCATTGCCTTCTCCGCAATCAATGGCGGTTTTTATCATAATGATAAACAATAATCAATGTGATATTTTGCTGAATATTTAAGAGCTTAAGCTTTAAAAAAGAACGGAAAACCGACGTCAATGACCAAGGTACGCCGCTCAGGCGTCACAGTTCCCGAAACCTGAGTGGCACTCCCAGTGACCGTTCTCTTTTGTTGTTGAAGCTCTTAGGAAGATACGTAACAGGGTTGGAGTTTTCCTTATGAAGTGAAAAGAACAGCGGGAATTCTGAATCTCTACATAAAGGGAAAAAAGTGCTTATAAATACACTTTACTTTTTGGTTATTAAATAGACCTTGTGTCACTAATAAATCGTTTTCAGTTGAAAGGAAAAGGGAACTCTCCAAAATCAAATTGCAATAATAGTTTCCCTCAGTATGAATTGAACTGATATTCCTGCTTTGCACTTCCAATTTCTGTGCATGCACCTCCGATACGCTACCTGTTCTGAGCTCACGCTGATGTGGTCTTTAAAGATGATCCAGGTGACACTGTCGTGAAGAGGAGGGTGAGTCAGGGAACCAAAGTAGGTCCAGTATTCCGGGGATGAAGGCAGGAGGACAGAGGGGTCGAAATTTGTGAATGGAGCTTGCTTGTTCTGAGAGAAAAAGAAAAGCAATATATTATTGTGCCATGATATAAAATATTTACATCATTACATATGTGACATACATATTACTTGGTAGATAGGTCTTAGCGAAGCATTTAATCAATTTTTCGACTACATGGCATTTCATGACTGGTATGTTTGTGGTGGTTCAGCTCTCCATTAATTCAGGAGACCCGGGTTTGATCCCTGGGTCGGGAAGATCCCCTGGAGAAGGAAATGGCAACTCACTCCAGTATTCTTGCCTGGAGAATCCCCTGGATGGAGGAGCCTGGTGAGCTACAATCCATGGGGTCACAAAGAATTGGATACCACTTACTGACTAAATAACAGCAACAACATGTTTGTAAATATAAACAGTAAAAGTAATAGATAACTGAAAATATGCTACATTAGAATTGTGATTGATTTGTCTTCTTCCTTCTTCACTTGGCTAAGTATAAGCAAAGGTTAAAAATTTTTTTATAATCTATATTCTTTATTCTTATCTTTACTGATTGGTCATATTGGTGTATAGAAAATAAATTGATGTTCATATGCTACTATTTTATGTAGTCAACTTTATTAGAACTTGTGTATTAAGTATGTTTATTTTGTAATTTTCCAGGTGGATGTCAATGATCATATCCTCTACACTTGATGATAGTTTTGTCTTTGATTTTCTAATACTTATCCTAGTATGTACTCAGCTGTCTCATTATTCAACTACATTGATTAGGACATTCATTGGAATGTTCATTTGTGGTGGTCACAATTCACACCCTGGTTTTATTCTTAATTGAAATGAAAATGCTTCAAATATTTCACTACTAAGTTTGATGCTTGATTCCAATTTCTATTTGGTATTCTTTCTTAAGTTCGATTTAAGTTTTAACAGAATTTTTTTCTTTCTCTCTTTTACTCTTCAGGAGTGGACACTGAATTTTAATCAAACGTTTTCCAAGCATCTAACAAGTGAAATTTGCTAATGTAATGAATTATATTGGGAGATAGTCTAATATTGAATCATCTTTGCATTCCTTGGATAAATTCTACTAGTTTGAAAGCATGAGTCTTTTAATATACTGTTGAATATGATTTGCTGTAATCTATTTTAATATTTCTTTTAGCTACATTCCTAAGTAAGACTGGCCTATGATATCCTTTTTGTGGTGTTCTTAACCAGTTTGGGTATTAGGTTTCATTAAATTAAATTGAAATAAGTTTTTTTGTCCCCTAGTCTAGGCAGTTTAGTTAAAAGTGGCATGACTATTTATTAAAAGTTGTGTAATGTTTCCCCATAAAGTGGTCTGGGCCTAGAGTTTTCTTTTACTGGATACATTTTTTTTTTTTACTATTTTTTCAACTTTTTTTTAGATTATTGGTCTATTTAGACTTTCAATAAATTTTGAGTCAGTTTCTCTACATTTTCCCAGGCATTCATCTATGTGATCTAAATTTTTGAATTTGCTTGTGTAGTGTGGTACTGCTGACCCTTGAACAATATAGGGCTTAGGGGAAATCCGCACATAACTGTATGGTCGTCCCTCATAATCGTGGTTGGGCATCAGCGGGTTCAGTTAGGGGACAACTGTGTGGTGCTAGAGCAAGCATTGATCGAAAAAATAATCCACAGTTTACTGGGCCTGTGCCATTCGAACCCATGTTGTTCAAGGGTCAACTGTACAAGCTTTTCTCTTTTAACACCTTCTAATACATCATTAATTATGACCCATTTCCTTATTTGTAATAATTTTTTGTATTTATACTCTTTCCCCTCATCATCAAAAGTGCCAAAAGTGTCTTTTTTTGGTTATTTTTCCCAAAGAATTAGCTTTTCATTTTATTAATAAAATTTTACCTATATTTATTCATATTTTCTCTTATTTTATTAATTTTTTGCTTCATCTAAATTAATCATTTCCTTCCACTTTCTTTTCATATATAATTTTTTATATTCTTGAATTGAATGCTTATTTATCTTTAAACTTTCTCACTTTATAAAATATGCATTTGAAGTTTAATTTTTTTGGACTCAACATGAACTAGATTTATTTTATATAAAAGTATGATAGGTCTCCAAACTGTGAATGACAATGGCAAATCTCTGACATATTTGTGTGACCCTTCATTCAGGGCATGGGAAGGGCTATGCTTGCACTCTTAAGAAGGGTTTTCTTAAGAAAATAGAGTTGAATAGAGTGGGCACCTTGCAAATCCTGGAACCAGTAAGTAAAACTTCTTTTTTCCACAATATCATAACTATTCAATGTTACTTCTTAAAAAAAAAACAAAACAAACACCTCTCTGTTTGGTGTGAGAAGATCAAGTATTTCTGGCTAACTAGTTTGGAAACAAAAACTGAAATAATTTTCTAACTTGAGGTACTTGATAACTTTGTGAGAAGGGGCTCCTAAGGTATCTGGAGTCTTGGCCAGGGGCAGGTTCTCTTGAGCATATCCAGACACCTTTCAAACCAACATCCTCAGCCTAAGTCCTCTCTGAAATTCTGGACCTGTATATACAAGTATATGTGCACGACTTCCTGATACTTTCTTGATATCTCCACATGGATATCTGATATGAATCTCAAACTTAACAAGGCCAAACTAGCACTCTTGACTTTCTCTTTTCCAGACCTGTTTCATTTTCTCATTTTAGGAAAAGGCATCACCTTCCATCTAATTGCTCAACTGAAAAATGCAGCAGTTTTTCATTTCTTACTTTTCTCCACTTATTGGCATCCATCCTTCAGCACAGTGCATAGATTTTAGCTTTGCATGTAGTTCACAGCTTTAAGTCTTTGCATTACCTGCTGATTTTCCTCTGGGATGTCAAGTCAAAATGGCAAGATTTTGACCGGAATTATGGCTGAACTCAAATGCTACTCCTGAAAAAGTCTTTCTCTGACCACCTAACGTAAAGTGATCAGCGGGTCGCTTGGGTCACGCTAAACCACACCAGTCCTCTCCCTGCCACCCACATGTCTTATCTCTCTCTCTCCTCTGTCTTTCTCCCCTCCTCTCTCCTGCTGATCTCCCTCCCACCCTCCCTCCTACCCTCTCTCATACGGCGAACTTAGTGACTGAGTACCTGTCAGCTCTAGCCTGGATTAATTTTACTTTTCTCAAATTAGATAAGAGAGTCATTGATTCAGATTTCTTAGATACAACCAAATATCCTGTCCCTGACATAATACTGTTACTAATTTAGGCTTTCAGCCCATTTGATTTCAGTCTACTTTCAATTTTATGAAAAATAAATAGGAAAAAAAAACATGTAATGGATTTCTGTACCATTGAAAGTTACTAGCCTGGCTTTCCAGTGTAACATAGTTTTATTTGTATACTATTCCCAAGTCTTCTATCAAAATGAATAATACACTGCTTTGTACCTAACAATCCCTCTTATAAAAATCTGCCATACACAATTGCTTTCACCAGTGTGTAAGATATTTGTACAAATGTATTCATTGCCGATCTTTTTTGTAAAACAAACAAACAACAGAATGAAAAGCAAAAGGCATTGCAATTGTTCCTATGTAGGAATTAGTTAATAAATTCTAACATATGTATACATGGAAATACCATAAGACTTTAGGAATTCCTACTGACTTGGAAAAATGATCATGATCATTGGCAAATGAAAAAAAAAAAGAACAAACACCATGTTGCAAAACTATGTGTATTACAAATTCATTCTACAAGAGTAAAACAAAAAAGCCAACCCGTCTGTATTGGTACAAACATATTGAATAGTCATACTTACAAAGAACAAAATTTTTTTGTTTTCAGTCTCCGTACCCACTGTTGAGAGTTTGAGGCACATTTTCTTGATTTTACCGTGGACATACAGACAGAATGTCTTGAACTGAATCACAGACTTCCATGTGGAGGCAAGTCAAGAGGCCAGAAAGTAGTGGTCTGTGGCCAGGGAACCCCAAACCCTCATCCGGAGTATGCTACTCATTGTGATGACTCCGGAGGTTAAACTGGCCCTCTTGGTAGGATCTTAGTGGAGTGCCTTGGCCTGGCTACGCTCTGCTACGGGTGTGTGCACCCTGGAACCTTTAAATGAGAACAGAAATGGTGTGTTCCTGCTGGGGGTTAGAGCTTTAAAAGGAGAGTAGCAACTCCCTTTGAGGTTAGCCTGATGTCAGGCAGTTTTTGAGACATTCTGAAATGAAAGCGGATTCTGAGGCTCAAGAGTTTGTCTGCAAGTTCACCTGCCTCCCTCACGTGAAAAATTTTCCTCTGTGGCCAAATGCAGCGTGTCTGTGTAAGTTTAGTGGAACCTAGGAATTCTTCACAGGCCCAAGAATGCTCACTCCTTTGGAGCCCTTGAAATTGTGTCTTATGTGATAAGGGGAGCTTCCCTGATGGGTCAGAGAGTAAAGAATCTGCCTGCAATGCAAGAGACCCTGGTTTGATACCACTAGAGCCACCATTAATGGAGAGCAGTTTATTAAGACTGAAATTAAATACAGTCCAATGTTTATTTTACGCATCAAATATCAAAATAGAAGCCTTTCTTTTGTATAGTTCTATACAATTAGTAGAAAGAAAAAAAAAACCTGGCTGCTAACACAGGAGATGTAAGAGACATGGGTTCCATCTCTGGGTTGGGAAGATCCCCTGGAGGAGGAATTGACAACCCACTCCAGTATTCTTGCCTGGAGAATCCCATGGACAGAGGAGCCTGGTGGGCTACAGTCCATGGGGTCACAAAGAGTTGGACATGACTGAGCGACTAACACACGTACACATGTTAGAAGGGCAATACTTCTGGGAGGACTCGGTGTAGCTTTCACTCACTAAGCTACATTACCTCTGCAGAAAATTTGGCTCCATCCACTAAGTGCTCAGAGCCATAGTCATCTGTGGTGCCCCAGTGAAAATGGAACTGACGCAGCCTGTAGCTTTCACACAGAGGTCCACCGTTCAGCACTAGAAGAAAAAGGAAACTGCTATTAGTGTCACAGTCATAAGCTCCAGCTTGTCTCTACGTTTAAGACAAATTAACATTCAATTGGATTGAGTAGAAATGAAAATAAACAGCAGTGCCAAAGTTTCCATCTTGTTGGTTTTTTCCCCCCATGTCCACAATGATGGTCTTCAAATGTGTGGGGCGCCTTAAGATAGTGCGTGAGTTATATGTGGTCCTCAGCACATGGGCTATAACTTTATCTTTTCTTGTTTTCAAGAAAACATAGTGGAAGATGAGTGAATTATAGGATTATAGGCCTTTCCTTGAATCNCATCTTGTTGGTTTTTTCCCCCCATGTCCACAATGATGGTCTTCAAATGTGTGGGGCGCCTTAAGATAGTGCGTGAGTTATATGTGGTTCTCAGCACATGGGCTATAACTTTATCTTTTCTTGTTTTCAAGAAAACATAGTGGAAGATGAGTGAATTATAGGATTATAGGCCTTTCCTTGAATCTGCTTTTGTTTATCAGTCCATTCATTCTTTCAACAGACAGTAATGGACAGTATGCATTAAGATATCTAGCAATTTATTTTTAGTAACAGATCACTCCACACATAGCTTGTAACTGATCAAGATACAAGAGGGTATTCTGTCAGCTTTGCTGAGAATCCCTAGCTAGGGACCAAAAGAAAGTTCCAGCAGGACAGTAGGGTCACTTTTTAATTTAATTTAATTTAAATTTAAATTTTAAAATTCTAACACTGAAGGATCACTTTGCTTTAGAGAGTCTATCCAACCATATGATTAATAAAACACACATACTACCAGACCTAATCCAATATTAACAAAGGACGTAGCCCCAAGATGTCTAAAATTTAGGCTCAGGACCTTGGAGGAAAGTGTTAAGACAAATTTTGCCTTTTAACAGTAGAGCTGATTTATTAATCTGTGATTTAATAAATTGTTCAGTAAGCAGCTTTGAGAATCTTCCTGTGGACGAGGAAGTGTGCTAGATTCTGGGAGATGAAGATAATTCAGTTACTATGATCGTAACAGGGAGAGGGGAAGCTAGACAAAGATACTTACGCACAGAATGATTCCATCCAAGATACACCCAAGACCAGTTTTCTTTTCTTTTTTTTTTACTGGTACCCAAGCACTTCACGGTTATGGAGGCTTTTTTCTGGCCACACAAAATAAATATACTGTTCATCTATATATCTTCCCTAATGTGCTCCTCCACCCTCATCTCAATTAGAAAATGTTTGCCTTTTCAGTTTTTACATTCGTGAGGGTTCACAGAATTTTGTGGAAAAGCCTGTTTATTCAGAGGGTGTAAAGTTGGCATAAAGACATTGGGAGCCAGAAGAGATGGAACAGAGTCACTGAGAAAGAAAAGGGCTGAAAAAAGACAGAGCCGGGAGTCCCCAGAGTCACCTTTAACACTTGGCAATGTTTTACAACTTCAGGATGCCTCAGTAGACGGCATCTATGCTACACATGTGCACCAAAGACTGAACACGGGTCTTTGTGTTTCGGAAAGCCCTATTGTTTAAATTTCCCCAGGAAAGTCAAAGACAAAAAATTAGAAGGCTCTTTGGGCTCACCCGATCTGTTATCGCTGTCCTCAAAGTTTACATGAAAGGAATGTCCCACGTTGACGATTTCTTTGGCTGTGGCTGGATTGTAGGAGACACTGACAGGTTTCAGAGACTCATCATGTTTGGTTTCACTGGTTTTAATGTCGATAGGAGATTGGTTATTTCCGTTTGCGATGGGGTACAGCTTCTCCCAGTGTTCAGGACCTACCAGGACAAGCATATGACTGCAATCAAAACTTGATCTAATGCTTGAGTCCAAGTTTTAGGAATATAACTTTACTAGATTAGGACTTACTCAGATATCTTAAATGATATTCTGGTTAACTTAATGGAAATTCAAGGTTTGAGAATGCCCCTTTTCCATGCTACACTATAAAAGTGTCTTTGTCAACAGAAGTAATATAGTCTATGGGATCAGACTATACATATTTTGCTGTTAGCAATAGACCTCTCTATACATTGAGAGGAAGAGAGGAGAAAAAAGGCAGAATACATTTTGTAGACAATCATGGCCCAAAGGACAACTGTTGAGAATGCATGCAAAGCAAATATAAGTCAAAGGCACTTCAAACTATTAATCTATGACTTTACCGTTATTTTAAGTGCTCAATATCTCTTTTACTGGAAAAGGGAATAAGCTGCTATTTGATCTACATGAGCAGAAGAATGCTTACCATTTTCACCATCATATCCCCAGGCAGGACTTGCCATGATCTTCTACTAGTTTTCTTTTTCTGAAAACGAAGATAATACCTGAGACAACTGACTGTTAACTGAATGTGCAATAGGCAACTGAAACCACAGTTTGCAGGTTTTTATAGAAACGTCTCTGCCTTTGTGCATGTGTATTAGTCACCCAGACCACTATTTCATCATCTTTATCTATCAGGAAGTATATGCATGTTAAAAAAAAAAGGTATTGTTTAAAAAAGCTCACAAAGGTCAGGGCAGGTCCAGTTGTTTTATTTTCTTATATTCTTAAAGAGAAATATCAATATCTTAGCTTCTGCAAAACCAAGCCCTGTTATTCTCATATTAGTAGAAGATATGGCTGAGTTATCACATATGATTCTTTGAATTTCTAATTAAAAAAGACTGTGCATTTGAGATTCCTAGCTTTTACCCTTGCTGGACACTAAAGCAATGCTAGCAACAGTAATTAAGTCAGGAGAATAATTTGCATATTCACAGGCAGATCAGAACCAATATCATGATGTGAATTTAAAATCAGATAAGAGAATCACTAATCATTTGTAATACATTGGGTTTGTAATTTGTAATATATTGGAAAATCTTATGGAAAAACCCAAACTTTTTGGCCAACTCAATATATTATTCATGACAGTACATTTCAAAGGCATATGAGATGAGAGTAAAGTTCCTCGTCTTTGAGCAGTATTGGAATTCACAAATGGAGATTTGTTTTATGTGTGAGCACAGTTGTGTTCGACTCTTTGCAACCCCATGAGCTGCAGCCCACTCCCCGCCCTTCTCTGCTGCCTCACAGGCTGCCAGCTCTAATCTGTGTGCAATCATTCATGCATTCAACAAATCATTGTGCGTGTTTGTGCAGTTGTGTCCGACTCTTTGCAACCCTGTGGACTGTAGCCCACCAGGTTCCTCTGTCCGTGGGAATTTTCCAGGCAAGAATACTGGAGTGGGCTGCCATTTCCAACTCCAGGGGATCTTCCCAGCCCAGGGATTGAACCTGTGTCTCTTGCATCTTCTACATTGGCAGGTGGGTTCTTTACCACTAGAGCCACCATTAATGGAGAGCAGTTTATTAAGACTGAAATTAAATACAGTCCAATGTTTATTTTACGCATCAAATATCAAAATAGAAGCCTTTCTTTTGTATAGTTCTATACAATTAGTAGAAAGAAAAAAAAAACCTGGCTGCTAACACAGGAGATGTAAGAGACATGGGTTCCATCTCTGGGTTGGGAAGATCCCCTGGAGGAGGAATTGACAACCCATTCCAGTATTCTTGCCTGGAAATTTCCACGACAGAGGAGACTTGTGGACTACAGTCCACAAGAGTGAGGCACGACTGAGCACTCACATACGCATATGATTTATAGGGCACTTTCATATTATTTTACCATCAACACCACCCACAAAAATCCTATACAATGAGTTATCATTTTGCAGCTGAGAGATGTTGAGGGTTTTCACCACAACCAGCAAGAAGCCAAGACTCCAGCCTCCACGTCTAGCTGCTTTCTTTGCCTTCATCTCCTCGGAAGGCCGAGCCGGCTGAGCCAGGAGGCGGGTGATCCCTAGTTTCCCGTCTTGGCCCACGATCCTCGTAAGTCCAGCTGAAGCCTGGACTGAGGTGAGGCTTGCCAGCTGTTGAGTGATGAGAAGATTCACAGGACTTGTCAAGGAGGCAGTGAAGAGTGATTAATATGTGTCAGATCTTGGCTAGGTCCACATTTCCAAGGCTCTAAATGTGCTCAGAGGAAACAGCCTGAAAAAATAAGCCTTCCCAGTAACACTTTCCTTGCCCTGGGAGCCGTAACTCCTTCCACATTCGGGTGTTGTCTGAGCGCCCTGGGCTTTCCGAAGGAAGTGGGTCTGTCACAGCTCTTAGCAAGGCTTATCAGAGCCACGTTATCTGCCCCTTTTGGGTGATGACTGCTCACTGGCTCAGATGCAGAATGGGAAGAGACCTGAGTTTCCATTCCTCACTTTAGTAAGTTGAAAGAATTATTACTTAAAGGGAACCTTTAAAAGACACCATTTATTGTGGGTCCAGGATATCTCAAATGCTATGCTAAAAGTTTATATGCAGCAAATCATTTAATTCTCACAATAACCCAATCAGGCATTAACATCTGTATTCCACATAGGCAGACACTGCAGACAGCTCCTCAGGGTTATAAATGCTTGTGAGTGGATGCTTACATTGCATCAGGCCAGGGTTTAAACCCAGATCTGTTTGACTCCAACGCTTGTACTCTTTCTTTACTTTCCACTGCCAACAAATACCCACTGATCTCCATTTGATTCTGTTTGCAGGAGGATTGACTTGGTGGATCCAGACTGGTCTGTCTCAAGGTGACCAATAGTTGGTGTTGACCCTTGGGTTACTTTATTTTAGATTTAGAGTCTCAGGTTGCCCAGAAGCTCATAGAGGGATAGAAATAGGCTACTCTTGGTCAGTTACCGCTCTGATTTTTTTGTTTAGTTGCTAAGTTGTGTCTCTTAAGATGCCTGCTGACTGATACTTTGTTAAAAGTAACTTTAAGTTGAACTACTATATTAATCAATCGACCTATTTGACAAAAGGTAACTCCCTTTTTATTACATGATTACATAATTCATCACATGAATGTTTAACATTCATATAGGAATGGTAATTTATTTAAAGTTGAGGCACAAAATTGGCCTGAATCCTAACCATTATGACCCTGAATTCGATTATATAGCCAGGGGCTGTTTGTTTACTACCACAAGCAGAAAGCTATATAGAGAAAGATGTAAAATTTAATGAGCACCTGTGGTTTACATCCTGACACTCCTCTCATTCGCTTTTATCAGATTTTCTGCTTACAAACTTCACCATTCAGCTTAATATCTGTACTAAATCCAAATATCTCACTTCGTGTTCCTTCCACTTTCACCTGTAGCATCCTCATAGGACATTTTTCTAAGCCTATAATCTTCGGATGGCTTTTGCAAACTGAAGAGTTTGGTCTACATTGAACTCTGCTCTTCTAATTTAAACACTTTATTCCTTAAAGACCATCAAGGATGTAAGCACATATTGTAGAAGGTTTCCCAAGCCCTGTCCGAACATTCCAAATAAATCCATAGGTACTTGGAGCAGGAGTAAGTAAGCTGATGGAAAAACATATTTATTTTTAAAAAGCAATGTAAAACTGCATAAATAAATTTTGATAGACAATTGGTTAACTGCTAAATTGAGAAGTATCAAGCTATATGTCAATAAAATAGAGAAAATATAAACAAAACTGTAGCATTTTAAATAAAAAATTTTAAATGTTGAAGGAATGATGTGCAGAATGCTTAATGTTAACAATTACATTGGCTTAATTTTCAAATTTGATGAAAATGTATTAATAGGCTGGGGAGAGGGAAGAAAGATTGCTTTCTTTACCTTATAAATGAAACTTTAGAAGTCAAATATTTACTGGAAAAAACTTAAAGTTAATATGTTGATATTATCTTTAGTCTTAAACCTTATGCCCTAATTTTATCTCTTGACTGTCCTTGACAATAAATAAAATTCTTGCAGCAAACACACAAACAAAAAGAACTACAAAGAAGCTAACAGATTCACTGTGCTTCCTACATGTGCTAGTGGTAAAGAATCTGCCTGCCAATTCACGGGGCATAAGAGACATGGGTGTGATCCCTGGGTTGGGAAGATCCTCTGGAGGAGGAAATGGCAGCCCACTCCAGGATTCTTGCCTGGAAAATTCCATGGACAGAGGAGCCTGGCAGGCTACAGTCCTTGGAGTTGCAAAGAGTCAGACATGACTGAGCATCTGAGCACAAAAGATTTACTGTGCTTAAGGTGAGCTATTTCACTATGCATGCCTTTAGGAGTGTTGGAATAGTCTAGAAAAGACTATGGTTCATTGAATAATTAAAGTTAAAAATGATGACTTAATTCAGTTCTTGCAGTAGACTTGGGGTTAGGTTAGTCTCACTTCACTTTTAGAGAGGAATAACTGCGGCTCAGAAAATTCAAGTGGACAAGGCAGGATTTGAATCTAAAACCCATAAGGGAATCCTCTTCTCTATTTTATCACAGGGCCATCTTTAACAAGCTGCCCATAAAATGCTTGCTTTAAACTTACTTAATAGCTGATAACATTTATTTATTGAGTAGCATCAGTTAACTTTACTGAAGATAATTTTAGTGCCCTAAAATGTTTTCAACAGAGCAGAGACGTTTTCTCAGTGTTTCACAAAATTTGAAAACTGTATTTAGCCAACCCTAAATTATATTTAAAAGTCTTAGTGTTTCTTATCTGATTTTTTTTCTCGTAGTCTCTTAAATGAACATTTTCCTCTGATTCCTACTTCAATATTTTAAAATTGAGAAAATGAACTATTATGAAGGCAAGTAAATTATGATGAGTTCCAAGTTTAACTTTATAATTAAAAATAGTTCTTGGTAGAGAAGGAACTAAGAATGCGAAAGAATGATGTCTCATTATGGTAGAAATCTGTTAAATGCCACTGAAAAGAAATTCCAAAAGACAGTAGCAGTTCTATAATGCTTCGTATTCCATAGGATACATGGATATCCTGGGACCCATATTTTCCTTAAAATACGGGAATATACATAGAGAAAATCAAGTGTCATGTTTGTTAAATTTGGCATAACTTTCACAACGCTCCTTAATTTCCCTGCTTCTCCAGATTTGATACTGCTTAAGGTGACAAGAGAAAGCTTAATTCTAGTGGAGAAGTGGGTCATGGAAAATGGTAACATTATCTTGGACGTTTCTGCAGTAAGACAATTGGAAATTCTGCTGAATCAATTTAAATGGCTGGATTTCACAGCTATTATTTCCTCCAAACTGGTCTTTCTCTCCCCTTGTAACAAGATGTTTCACCAGCTTCATTCTTTCCAATGGAAGTCTGTCTCCACCCATACCACGCTTGTTCCCGTTTTAGGACTTTGCACTTGCTGTCCTCTCTGTCTGGATTCCTCTGTATCCAGATCTTTTCAC